AGCTCTCATCCTGTAACAACACTTAGGTAAGTACACATAGGTAATTACCAACCGTGCTAGCCCCAGAAAAACTGGAGAGGAACGAGCCAAGAAGTGACCCGGAGGTCCAGGTCCACCATCTATGCACCCGGCCCTAACAGAATCCGAACAGGAGACAACAGTCCTCCGAGGAGGGCAGAGGATCCAGGGCGCAGACTGAAGTAGTCCAGAAGAACTGCAGACCGGAAAAGCTCATGACTGCAAAGAGCAGACGGGAAAAGCTCATGACTGCAAAGAGCAGACGGGAAGCCCAGAAGGATGGGGCGGATCGACCACGCCCCACGCACCCACGAAGAGGAAATGACGAAGCGCAGGGGAAGAAGCCAACCCCGCCAGCTCTGAACCCCCCTCCAAGGGGGAGAAGCCGTCCTCCAACGCCAGCAGAGGCCGGAAGACAACCCAAAGCGCCCACCAACAGCGGGACCAAGCGAGAGGCAACAGAGCAAGCTGCTCCCCCAGCGCCCAGTCAACAGAGAAGGGAACAGAACCCCTTCCGAAAGAAAAAGTACACTACCGAAGTCATGAGGAGAGACTACGGGAATGAAACCACACTTCGCTGGAAGATGAAGTGAGGGGCGACCTGATCACCACATTCAAGATACCCAAGGGAATCGACAGGGCTGATAAGGACAGGCTATGTAACACAAGGGGCACACGCACTAGGGGACACAGGTGGAAACCAAGTACCCAAAAGAGCCACAGATAGAATTTTTTTTTTTTTTTTTTTTTTTTTATAGGGTCAGAATGGGAACAGGAAAGCACTAGGAAGTAATGGGGCGACTCCTCACACAAGTAACGAGACTGACCCCCATACAATGTCACATGTAAACATGACAGAGCCCAAGAGGCACAGGAACCGATACACCTGTTGATGGACGGTTGAGAGGCAGGACCAAGGAGCCAGAGCTCAACCCCCACAAGCACAACTAGGTGAAGACATATATTGTAAAAGCACAAGCCGCCGACTAGTGGCAGAGAGCACTACGCCGGCCAGGCAAAGAAGGCACAAAACTGCATCAAAAGGCCCACCTCGACAGCAAAACCACAAAGTCCCAGCACAACCACAACATGTGCCAAGACCCAAAAAGCTCAGCCTGCAAGCCAGGAAGACCCCGGAACCCCAAAAGGCAGAACCGGGGCACACGAGGAAACAAAGTCCCCTGAACCCACAAAAGGGGGCCCAAGAGGAAGAAACCTCCAGAACGAAACCAAGGAACCCAAAGGAACCCAGAATCGAACCAGGGGGAGCCCAACCACCACATTTGCCGGCGGAGAACACCACTGAAAGGCAAAGCACAGACCCCAGCAGAACGCCCGGGGAAAACGGTCCCAACAGACCGAAAACCGAGGGGCAAGGTGTGGGAGCAAGCATACCAGCCAGGGGCACTGAGCCTAAACCCATAGGCTCAGACCCAAAATCAACACCCAAACGTTCCCAGAGGAACAGGCAACGGCAAGAAAACACCAGAAAAACAAAGAAACGACAACAGGAGAACAAAAACCCTGAAAATTTTTTAAAACTCACCAGAGACGCTCGCTCGCACACCCAGACGCATGTAAACAAACCACAACGCCGCCCTGGTGGCCACGCCGTGAAACCGGCAGACGAAAATGGCCGCCAGCAGGGGCTGTGACTGACGCTAAATACACAAAAACACGCCAGCAAATGTGGGAAGCTAGCAGACTGGAAGGGCGAAAAACGCCGCCCAACAGCAGAAAAACCCCTGAAGGGGCAAAACCGCCCCAGAACTGCTAGCAGGCAACCCCCACAGCCCCGGGAACCAACAACAGAGGCCCCGGGGCAGAGCCGTCCTCCAAGCCCTCCGCCCTGAAAGAAAAGCAAGAGTCCATGGGAAAAGCAACAAGAAAGGGCCGCTGGTAAGACCCAGAAGCCTTGGCAGGAGGCACAGGCTCAAACCTCCGTCCCCAACCCGAACGGGGCAGCCCCCGAAAACCGCCCGAGTCTCTGCCGCAACTAAACCCCGCCCCGACCCCGAAACCCACAGACGGTCCGGAGCCGGGAACATGGAGAGCAGCACCTAACCAAACGGGGCGGCCACGGGGCATTCGAGTGGGAAACCAACCTAGCATGTTGCAGCAACTTAACCTAGCTTGCAACATGGATGCCGCCTGTACTCTGAACAGTAATAAGATCAGGAGAGTACTGGAGAACAAGCAGAGAATCACTCGCAAGACTCCGGGTCAAGGTGTCAGTGACCCAACAGGCAGCACGACGGAGGTAAAATTGGCGACTGTCACCCGGAGACAAGGGAACAGCAACCAACGATCCCGTACAAGACGGGTTGGAACCCGGAAGACACATTCAATGGTCCCCCGAGCCCAGACAGGGGTTTCCAGGGCCCGTAGGGTAACAACTACGGGAAGCCCGGGCAAGGTGTTGCTAACCGGTGAAGAAACCCAAACATAATAAGAGGGTAGATTATAGCACTGAAAACTCCTGAGACCTGTACAAGCACGGGGGCCTAGCAGAGGGCCGCCAAACACTACCAGTGGAACTATAACCACCTTAGGCAGACCCCCACCAGGCAAGAAAAATGAAAAACAAAAGAAAAACCCCGCAAAAGTACACCGTCTCCAGAGGCAACAGAAACCGGCCGCCGCTTAGGTGGCAGGCTGCGCAACACCTTGACGCCCTAACCAGCACAATACCAATCCCTACCCAGTGCCAAACAAGGGCCCCAAGCCCCAGCTGGCCCCAAGGGCGAGGCAAATGCCGAGCAGCAAGAACCTCAACGGGAATAGTTCCCGAACGCCCCAGGGAAGATAACCCTGTTACGCAAGGGCAGTACTCACAGGGCGCTTAGGGAAGGCAGCCACTAAGCACATGCAGCCCCGGCACTGATGAAGTACTCCTGGCCACCGCACACCACAACACACGGCAGTGAACGCCACACAAGGCAAACACCGCCTAGGAAACTGAGGCCAGAGAAGCGTCAATCCCGGTTGACATTAGCGAACGAACTGGAGCTTGGCAGCCAGCGCGGTAGGTCCGGGGCTCCCCCCTCCCCCTCCCGGGGTGGGGAGGGCTGCGCGGACGATCGGCGCGGCAGTAAAGTGTGATGTTTGCTTGTTTGCTTGTTTCCTTGGGATTGTAGGAAGTTTTCTACCTCTCTGTTCGGTTTTTGTTGTAGTTTCTTACCATGTGGGGTTTGTTTTGTTACGCCTACCTTTCTGGGTGCCTAACCCCGATCGATGGCAGATAAGGAAAACCCCCAACCATATGGGGTTTTCCAGGGCCATTGCTCCCTGAAACCTCTCTGAAGGGGCCAGGTTCTGGCGCTGGTCCCTGGTAGGTCTGAACTCCTTAGCTAATGTCCCGGTCTAACATAACATACATTAGCCCGATAAGCTCCAGGGAGCCGTAGGGGCTCCCCACAGAAAAATAACAAAAAAATTGTAGGTGGCATATTTTAGCCGCAATAGGGTAGGGAAGTGTGGCAAAAAAGGGGCGTTGGCAGAGCCTTCGCCAGACTAGGTCTACTCCGCCCGAGCTGTCAGACGGCAGTTGCCACAAATATATTATTACCTAATTATTTCAATGTCTCTGATTTTTTCTTAGTTTTTTTGCAGTAATATTATTCCATACAGTGAATTTTGGTATATTTATATTATAAAATGTGTGAACCATCGCTGTACTGTACTCAAAATTATGGTGTGCATATTAGTGATTCAATTATTATGCTCATAAAACAATAAACAAATAGTTTTGCTGTTGTTACACTATATACACAGGTTATATATAAGTATTTGCATGTTTTGTACACCATAACGAACTACTAAGTTGGTCTTGTGAGTCAAAAAGCAACGAGGAGTGATCGCCAAACACCAGCGAGCCACTCACTGCCACTCCCTCCCTCAACACCACCTCACTCACCCTCATTCACCTCCCACAATACTCTTTTGTATTTATTCACTATACACAGACGTTATATATACGTATTTACATGTTTTGTTCACCATAACTGTACATCTAAGCTTGTATGGTGAGTAAAGGCCATAAGACGTAGCTACTCACACAGTCAGCTGATCGGCGGCCGCCCGATCTAATCGACCCGGCCGCACTAATATTTGTCATCCAACAATATTGTTTGAGGTGTTATTACGCTATATACACACATTATATATAAGTATCTACCTGTTTTATTCACTATACCTGAACAAATAAGCTGGTATGGTGCCCAAAGACCATAGAGGCCATCAGTAAACACCATGCCAAGTTGTGCAGACGACGCTCCTCCCTCACCAAAATGGCGGCTCCCAACCTACTCCTCTCGCTGTTATCTCACACTATACACACGTTATATATAAGTGTTCACCATATCGAACCACTAAGCTGGTATGGTGAGTGCAGTCAATGAATGGTGGCCACACACAGTCAGAAAACGACGCCACAACCCTCCCTCCCACAGCTTTACTCCTCCCTCCATGGAGCACAGTGCTAAATATCACCACAATCCTGCTATTATCAGAATCCTGGTCAGTTTTATCACAGTCAGGGGGCTTCAGTAATACTATCACTGCTAAATAATAGCAGTATCATTTATATTATGGTATTTGTAGGCGATGCTGTGGTCACAAGCTGAACAGCGGTGCTGTGAGCTCGTGCTGCGTGCGCCAGCCATGGTGGCTTGCTCAATACTGACGCTGTAACACCCAAGAATGTTGGCCTGGATTTTTTTCCTAGGTGGCATCTGGCAACTATCGGTCGTGGCTGTACTATAGCTGCCCCTATCTCAGGCGGGGCGTTTAAATTATAGCGCTAGACACGAAATCATATATAAATGATGTGCGCGGTTTCGGTTTTGTCACTGATATCATTTATATATGATATGTGCGGTTTGAGGGTTAACTCCTGTTAAATATGTATGAATATTCATAAATATGTGACAGGGTGCAAGATACTACGGGATACATGTACTGAATATTCTGTCTGTACTTACCCTTCTTTGTCACTGCCACTTTTATCTTTGGCAGTCTCATTATCCTCTTCCTCCTCCTCCTCTTTTTCCTCCTCATTATCATCTTTACAAATCTTGGGTTCTTGAGAAGTCTCATCACTGGATTCTACTTTTATTTCTGTTGGTTCTTTTATACCAGTATCTTGTTGTCCTTCTTCCTCCTCCTTTACTCCTTGTTCTGCTTTCAGCATTTCCAGCTTCTTCCTGAGGTTGTCTCTGTGTCGCTCACGAAGCCTGGCTCGAGCTTGGTGAGCTGTAAGATACATAACTTGCTTAATTAATGATCAAAGAAAAGGTAATGCATCAAATACTGCATTATGAAATGCTCCATTTTGAGTGGCCTCTCAGTTGATACTGGAGCCAGGGTCCACCCAAGACAGTACAGACATACCAGGCACTCATCGACATAGTAGTAAGTAGCGGAATAAAATTGGCTGCCCTAGTGATTCCAATTATCTCTTGAAGATAGCGTTGCCTGTGATACTTTCTGTGTTTTTGCTTTATAGTGAGTAGTCACATTGGTATTGGATTGAACTTTATCTCCCTTCCCCATCTGAAGGGGAGGTCAGCTGAAAGCCATTTGTCACCATGGGCCACAGGTTGACATGAACTTGGTCTATGTGCAATGATTTAGGTGGACCCTAATGCAAGAAACAACAGGGAGGGCCTTGCCCAGAAAATGACACATACCTGAAGAGCCACACTGAGTTAACTGTTATTAATACTAGTGCTGATAACAATATTTCCAACCATGATGGAAATAGACTCCACAAATGGACACTACAAATTATTCACCTCCAGCCAAACCTACAAAGCATCAATCACCAAAGAACCCAACTCATTCATCGCCAGAAAAGGAGAGGGCTACAAGTGAACAAACTACCCAATAGGGCCAAAAGAATAGAACCCCCAAAACCAGAGAAGACCCTGCAGCTCCTCAACCCTACAGCTGGAGGTGAAAGCCAACAAAAAGCCAGCATGAATGTAATGAAGTGCCATTTTCTGGGCGAGCCCCAGAGGCTCGGTGAAGCTATTATCACCAATTCAGTTCCATACTACTATGTGCCATCAGTCGCAGAGTTCTATTGGCCTACTGGGAACCACAAGCCAGAACCTGGCCCTCCTTTACAAAGGTGCAGCTTTTCTTTGACATGACACTAGTTTTTAAAGTAATTCATGTTTGCCACCATCAGGGAAGACACCCAGAATGTCAGCAAGACAAAACAGACCGCTGCATGGTTAACCCTTAAACTGCACAAAACGTCATATGATGTGTGACATTGAAGGGGGGTATAATTAGAAAAATATTTGAATTATGTAAAATTTACTTAAAAATGTCAAACAAATCTCCAACTTAAATTTACTTAAAAATGTCAAACAAATCTCCAACTTATTGGCTTCAGTGTCGTGTGACTTTCATCAAAATATTTTCAGAAATTGATTTTAGACGAATATTTTAAAAAAACCAGCGTTGAATGTAATGAAACGCCATTTTCTGGTTGAGCCCTGGAGGCTCCCTGGAGCTTATCGGGCTAATGTATGTTATGTTAGACCGGGACACACAAGAGGAACAGGCTCGATAACCTCCGTCCCCAACCCAAACGGGGCAGCCCACGAAAACCGCCCGAGTCTCGGCCCCAACTAAACCCCGCCCCGACCCTAAAACCCGCAGACGGTCCAGAGCCGGGAACAGGGAGGGAAAGGGGCGAACAGCACCTAACCAAAACGGGGTGGCCTCGGGGCATCTGAGTGGGAAACCAATCTAGTGTGTTGCAGCAACCTAACCTAGCTTGCAATATGGATGACCCCTGTACTCTGAACAGTAATAACATCAGGAGAGTACTTGCGAACAAGCAGAGAATCTCTCTCTCGCAAGACTCCGAGTCAAGGTGTCAGTGACCCAACAGGCAACATGACGGAGGTAAACGTGGCGACTGTCACCCGGAGACAAGGGCACAGCAACCAACGATCCCGTACAAGACGGGTTGGAACCCGGAAGACACATTTAATGGTCCACCGAGCCCAGACAGGGGTTTCCAGGGCCCGTAGGCTGACTGCTACGGGAAGCCCGGGCAAGGTGTTACTAACTGGTTAAGAAACCCAAAAATAACAAGAGGGTAGAGGAAAGCACTGAAAACCCCTGCGACGTGTACAATCACTGGGGCCAAGCAGAGGTCCGCCAAACACTACCAGTGGAACTATAGCCACACTAGGCAAATGAAAATAAAAACAAAAGAAAAACCCCGCAAAAGTACACCGTCTCCAGAGGCAACAGGAACCGGTCGCTGCTTAGGTGGCAGGTCGCACAACACCTTGACGCCCTAACCAGCACAATACCAGTCCCTACCCAGAACCAAACAAGGAACCCAAGCCCCAGCTGGCCCCAAGGGCGAGGCAAATGCCGAGCAGCAAGAACCTCCACTGGAATGGTTCCCGAACGCCCCAGGGAAGATAACCCTATCACGCAGGGGCAGTACTCACAGGGCGCTTAGGGAAGGAAGCCCCCTAAGAGCATGCAGCCCCGGCACTGATGAGATATTCCTGGCCACCGCACAACACAACACACGGCAGTGAATGCCACACAAGGCAAACACCGCCTAGGAAACTGAGGCCAGAGAAGCGTCTATCCCGGTTGACACTAACTTACAAACTGAAGCTAGGCAGCCGGCGCTGTAGGTCCAGGGCTCCCCCCCTTCCCCTCTCGGTGTGGGGAGGGCTGCGCGGACGATCGGTGCGGCAGTAAAGTGTGATGTTTGCTTGTTTGCTGGTTTCCTTGGGATTGTAGGGAGTTTCTACCTCTCTGTTCGGTTTTTTGTTTTAGTTTTTTACCATGTGGGGTTTGTTTTGTTATGCCTACCTTTCTGGGTGCCTAACCCCGGTCAGTGGCAGATAAGGAAAACCTAAACCACAAGGGGGTTTTCCAGGGCCATTGCTCCCTGAAACCTCTCTGAAGGGGCCAGGTTCTGGTGCTGGTTCCTGGTAGGTCTGAACTCCTTAGCTAATGTCCCGGTCTAATATAACATACATTAGCCCGATAAGCTCCAGGAAGCCGTAGGGGCTCCCCACAGAAAGGTGCATAGAAACACCAGGAACATCATACTGTTGCCAAGACGAAGCTTGCAGGTGGGACACCATCAACAAAGCCACCTGATCGCCACAGAGATGGTGATACCCGCGTCAAAATACCAGACGCGAAGAGCCGAGGAGAAGGCCATACCAGTCATGTACAGGACTGGTCCGACCTGCCGAAAGAGGCGGAGCCGCGGGAAAACGCCCTGGGTTTGGACACGTACCAAGCATCGTCTGAAAATAAAGCTGGGCCACCCACCAAGGGATCATGAGGGCTACTCTCTTGAGAATGGGCTCCAACCGAGCCAGAACACGAAGCAACAGTTGGACCGGGAGAAAAGGAACAGGTACCCCCCATCTCGACCAGTCCTGCCGAAAGGCATCCACCGTGGACGCTTCGCAGGTGGGTAAGGGCGCCACATAGAATGGGCGACGCCTAGACCATGCCGACTTGCCGACTTGAAGACATCCATGGCCAGGAGTCCCATACGTCCGGCAGAGCCAACGAAACGAGTCGCCGACAACTGGCCACTCCACGAACAGAGGAATGAACCGAGACAGGCTGTCTGCCAGGAGGTAGGACACACCCTGAACATGAACCTCACGGTTAGCCAAACCCCGAGAATCCAGCAAACGAGCCACTTGAAGGGACCAACCCCAAAGGCAAACACCTAAGAGAAACCCTGTGGTTCCGACAAAGAACCGCCAAAGAACAGTCCGAATGGAGCTGAATGGTAAAGCACGGAGCGACCCGAACCCTTCGAAGTGCAAACCAGACAGCCACGAACTCCCGAACCATGCTGTGAGCCCGACGGACGGACAGACCCCACCATCCCTGGCCGATCTGGTGAGCACTGGTAACAAAGCCCCAGCCGAGAGATGACCCATCAGTGAACACATCGAGTGAAGGCTCGGGTAGGTGCCAAGGCACGGAACCCTGAAAATCCGAAAGAGGAAGCTGGTGACGCAGCACCAACACAAGATCCCCGGAGGAACGAACCAAACAATTGCAAGAGAGGCGGAACGGGAGTCTCCGAAGGAATCAAACAGACGCCGAAGGCAAACCCGATCCTGCGGGCAGACCAGCACGTTGAAGTTCAGACTCCCGCACAAATGCTCGAGCAACAACCAAGCAACCCGGGACCCCCTCATAAACAGCCGAAATGGGACCACAGCCGCAGCAACACTTCTGGAGGGAAAGACAAGGCGTGGCCCAAGAGCCCTAAACAAGACCCAGCCAGGTCCGAACCCGGGACGGAAACATATGGAATGGCCTCCAGATCACCAGGAAACCAAACCCGGTGATCTGAAAAGAACTACACACCTGGCGAGCAGACAAGCGGACCAACTGGGAGCCCACACCAGCCAGTCGTCGAGATAGGCCAGACACCGAATCCCAAGCAGACTCAGACAGGGCATCAAGATCCGGTAAAGATCCGGATCTTTACCGGCAGGACTCCGGGTCAAGATGTCAGGGACCCATTAGGCAGCATGACGGAGGTAAAAGCTGCGACTGTTACCCGGAGACAAGGGCACAGCAACCAACGAGCCTGCACAAGATGAGTTGGAACCCGGAAGACACATTCAATGGTCCACTGAGCCCCAACATGGTTTTCCAGGGCCCGTAGGGTAACAACTACGGGAGGCCTCGGGCCTCGGGTGTTGCAAACCAATTAAAACCCAAAACTAACAAGGGGGTAGAGGACAACACTGACCCCTGCGACGTATACAATCACAGGAGCCTGGCAGAGGGCCACCAAACACTACCAGTGGAACTATACCCACACTAGGAAGACCCCCACCAGGCAAATGAAAATTAAAACAAAAGAAAAAACCTGCAAAAGTACACCGTCTCCAGAGGCAACAGGAACTGGTCGCCGCTTAGGTGGCAGGTTGCGCAACACCTTGACGCCCTAACCAGCACAATACCAGTCCCTACCCAGGGCCAAACAAGGGCCCTAAGCCTCAGCTGGCCCCAAGGGCGAGGCAAATGTCAAGCAGCAAGAACCTCTACGGAATGGTTTCCCGAACGCCCCAGGGAAGATAACCCTATCACGCAGGAGCAGTACTCATAGGGCGTTTATGGAAGGAAGCCCCTAAGAGCATGCAGCCCCAGTACTGATGAGGAACACCTGGCCACCGCACAACACAACACACAGCAGTAAATGCCACGAGAGGCAAACACCGCCTAGGAAACTGAGGCCAGAAAAGCATCTATCCCGGTTGACAATAGTTTACGAACTGATGCTTGGCAGCCGACGTGGTGACGTCCGGAGCTTCCCCTCCCCCTCTCGGGGCGAGGAGGGCTGCGTGGACGATCGGTGCAGTAGTAAAGTGTGATGTTTGCTTATTTGCTTGTTTCCTTGGGATTGTAGGGAGTTTCTACCTCTCTGTTCGGTTTTCTGTTTTAGTTTTTTACCATGTCGGGTTTGTTTTGTTATGCCTACCTTTCTGGGTGCCTAACCCCCGTCGATAGCAGATAAGGAAAACCCCAACCACAAGGGGGGGTTCCAGGGCCATTGCTCCCTGAACCCTCTCTGAAGGGGCCAGGTTCTGGTGCTGTTCCCTGGTAGGTCTGAACTCCATCTTCTTGAGGTTATCTTGAGATGATTTCGGGGTTTTTAGTGTCCCCGCGGCCTGGTCCTCGACCAGGCCTCCACTCCCAGGAAGCAGCCCGTGACAGCTAACACCCAGGTACCTATTTTACTGCTAGGTAACAGGGGTATAGGGTGAAAGAAACTCTGCCCATTGTTTCTCACCGGTGCCTGGGATCAAACCCAGGACCACAGGATCACAAGTCCAGTGTGCTGTCCGCTCGGCCAACCCGGCTCCATAGCTAATGTCTCAGTCTAATATAGAGTACATTAGTCCGATAAGCTCCAGGGAGCCATAGTGGCTCCCCACAGCAAACAACCCAAAAAGCCCATAAATTGTGGGTCCAATCGTGAGCAAACAGCACAAGACGGTTTGCCCCATCACCCCCGTCAAAAGGGCCAACCGCGAAAAAACGCAGACACCTCTTATGAAACGCCTACTTACAAGCAGAGCAATAACCTTGCTGACCAGTCGTCATTGGTTCTGAAACTGGCACCACTGGCCTACCACAATGGGGGATCCCCGAGCCCTGGTACGACCCATCCAGGAAGACCCCCCCCAAGTACCCCCCAGATAACCAACACATCCGAGATGGGACGACAACTAGAAGAAGCTGCTTGCAGACACTGCACCACTGCAGACTCTGCGAACAGCAAAGGACAAAAAGACATGGAGAACCTAAGAGCCAGGTCCCAAGCAGCTTCCAAGGAATGAGCAAGCACTGCCTGCCAGCATGCGAGATGAGAAGCAAAGAACAGACACACCACCTCCCGCCGGATTGGGGCAAACAGCTTCAAAAGAGCAGCCGACGCCTGCTAATACAAGCACACCAGACCCAGGATCAGCTCTAGGCGCCTCCACGTTAGGCGCTCGGTGCCCACGTGTGAGCAGCCACATCCAACAGCCTGGTTAATCAGACCATCAACCAGAAAGCCTGGTCAGAGACCGGGTAGCAAGGACCTTGCCCCTCAGAATCAACGCAAAGTCAAGGTCAACTACAACGAATAAAATCAGTGCACCATGAACGAGGTGAGAATAGCTTGAGCTACCTCATTCCTTTGTGTGTATTTTACCTCAATAAACTAATTTTAATTTCAACTGCACCATGAGACTTGTGTTTATATGGATGCAAAGCAGGGCACTTAACTGAATTCAATCTTGAGCCTGCAAAACCATTATGAAGACAAATCACTGGAAAATGTGATGGGGGGTCAGGAAGGGGGGGGGAGGCAGATGAAGGTAGGTGATCTGAGGTTAGCATGGGTGCTACCATTTGGTGGCAATCATGGGTCACACACACTAATTTACCAACTGGCAGAATGCAAAACTGCAACTTGGCTGTCAGTCTGATAGCAAAAACTTGGAAAAGGTTTAAGTTCTTATGAGGGAGCTTTCAATAGTCACTCTGGATTGGATTGCATATTTTTCACGTGCTTCCCGAGTATTTGTATGACTCAACAAGCTCCCTATTGCAATAGAGCTGAGCATCATCACCCAGCCTTGACTATCCTCAGCCTGCCCATGGCACCTTCACCAATCTTGCCTTTGGGAGCAGCTGAGTGAAACTGATCAGAAAGTGAACATGATGTGCAGTAAACAAAGTATTGAAGTTTAAAAACTCATTACATTTCATTCTATAGACTAATCATATCATAGTAAGATATCCTGTTCATACCTTTAAGTTGTGACAGAAGGGATTCCCAATACCCAATGTCAAGCCCAGTTGTAGGTCCAGATAATTTGGACTCTATGTTTAGTTGCAATTTATTAAGCTCAGAGAGGGATTTATTTTGGAAGACAGAAGATACATCAGCTGCTACAGCTGCATGAATGCCTTGGCGATGGGTAGTTGCATCTTCTATGGTGTCTCTCTGGCGCAGGCGGCGCAACTCATCTTGGACAATGATGGTTAAGTCAGTCCAATATGTTTGGTTTATACCCTGTAGAGAGGAAACAGTAAATATATCTATCTTTCACATGCAAATGAGCATAAAATAAAATGAACTCGCTTTTGTAAAATACCTTTGCAGCAAAAGAAAGGAACCTAACACTTGATTATAGGTCATTCTATCTCAAATCACCAAAAAGTCACCTATGGCTTCCACTTGACCCTCTCCAAATGTCATGAAATTTTGTAGTAAGATAGCCCTAGACCCCAAATGACACTTTGCAAAATATTAGAGCTCAATCTGCTTTGGTTCTCAAATAAAAGGTCCATATTGAATGGACTCTCATCCCGTTAATGCGTAAATACCACAAAAATTACCAACTTTGACCCTTTGTTAAATCACGACTAGTGCCCAGAGAGGTGGGAAATTTGGCACACCAGGGCAACTTTTGGTGCGGAATACAGCAGCATAATAAAAAAAATAGCATTGAATGTAATGAAACGTCATTGAATGTATCGAAATGCCAAACACCCTGGAGCTTATCGGGCTAAAATATGTTATGTTAGACCGGGACATTAGCTATGGAGTTCAGACCTACCAGGGACAAGTGCCAGAACCTGGCCCCTTCAGAGAGGTTTCAGGGAGCAATGGCCCTGGAAAAACCCCATTGTGGTTGGGGTTTTTTCCTTACCTGCCATCGACCAGGGTTAGGCACCCAGAAAGGTAGGCATATCAAAACAAACCCCACATGGTAAGAAACTAAAACAAAAACTGAACAGAGAGGTAGAAACTCCCTACAATCCCAAGGAAACAATCAAACAATCAATTATCACAATTTACCGCCGCACCGGTCGTCTGTGCAGCGCTCCCCTCCCCGGGAGGGGGAGGGGGGGCCCCGGACCTCACCATGTCGGCTGCCTTCAGTTCGGAAACTAGACTTCAACCAACGCGAAAAAAAAAACACCGACCGGATGGGAGGGAGGGTAGCTAGGGAGCCTCCAGGGCTCACCCAAAAAATGGCGTTTCATTACATTCAACGCTGGTTTTTTTGTGGGGAGCCCCTACAGCTCCCTGGAGCTATATACCCAAAGAGAAGGAAAATAGAGACTTACCCGGGAGGTGGCGGCCACAAACTCCTCAACGCGAAGTCAAGACAACTGGCTGCAACCTGTGACCCAAAGCAACACAAGAACGCCGAGGAGCAGGGACGTTCACCAAACAACGGGCGGCCAGGACCCTGTTCGACTTCCAAAATCCACGCGCCCGAATATGAGCCCAAGACATGTTACCAAAAACGTCAGCCAATGCTGCAAACTTCTGAACGTCATGGGCATAAGTATAGATCGCAGGCTGGCTAGACTTAATAACCCTGCGGACAACCTGGAAGCTCCGAGCCCTGGAACAGGGAACGAGAGAAACCGGATCAACCTAAAGCGCATCCCCAGCCACCCCAGCTGATGCACACAGGTAACGGCGAAGAGCCGCAACCGAACACAACACATGATGCACCCCCGGCTGAACCAACCAAGCATCAATGACCCACGAACCCCTCCAGAAAGCAGCCATCTCGTTCTTCGCCAGAAAAGATGGAGAAGGCTGCAAACGGACAAACCTACCCCCAGGACCAAAAGAGCAGAAACCCCTGCGCCGGAAGAGAGCATGAAGCTCTCCTACTCGGCCCCCAGAGGCCAATGCCAACAAAAACAAAGCCTTGGAAAAACAATCAGGAACCGAAGGGGCCACCACAAACCGAGGAGAGGAAAGATAGAAGAGCACCCTGTCCAAGGACCAGGACGGCTCAGGAGGCGCATGAGCAGGCCGGAGGTGAAACATAGCACGAGAAAGCTTATGGAACGTGGCGGATGTGACGTCCACCCCAAACGCTAGCTTGAGCGGCTCCGCCAGCGCCACATGATACAAGGCGACAATATTAGGCATCAAATGATGTTCCTGAAAAAGCCAAGAAAGAAAGGACAAGACAACCCGAACCGAAAGAAAAAGACAAGCTACGAAGAGCCAGAAAATGGTGAAAAGAATGCCAGGAAACTTACCTGGTTGATGGGGTGCTGGGAGTTCTTCTACTCCCCAAGCCCGGCCAAAGGCCAGGCTTGACTTGAGAGAGTTTGGTCCACTAGGCTGTTGCTTGGAGCGGCCCGCAGGCCCACATACCCACCACAACTCGGTTGGTCCGGCACTCCTTGGAGAAAACAATCTAGTTTCCTCTTGAAGATGTCCACGGTTGTTCCGACAATATTCCTTATGCTCGCTGGGAGGGTTGAACAACCGTGGACCTCTGATGTTTATACAGTGTTCTCTGATTATGCCTATGGCACCCCTACTCTTCACTGGTTCTATTCTGCATTTTCTTCCATATCGTTCACTCCAGTACGTTGTTATTTTACTATGTAGATTTGGTACTTGGCCCTCCAGTATCTTCCACGTGTATATTATTTGATATCTCTCTTGTCTTCTTTCTAGTGAGTACATTTGGAGGGCTTTGAGACGATCCCAATAATTTAGGTGCTTTATCGCATCTATGCGTGCCGTATATGTTCTCTGCATTCCCTCTATTTCAGCAATCTCTCCTGCTCTGAAGGGGAAGGTGAGTACTGAACAGAACTCAAGACGGGACAACACAAGTGACTTGAGTACAACCATTGTGATGGGATCCCTGGATTTGAAAGTTCTTGTAATCCATCTGATCATTTTTCTGGCTGACGCAATATTTGCTTGGTTATGCTCCCTAAACGTTAGGTCGTCAGACATCATTATTCCCAAATCCTTTACATGCTGTTTTCCTACTTTGGGCACATTTGATTGCTTTTTACCCTGTATTATGTTTAAGGGCCTCATTTTTACCGTATCTGAGTACCTGGAATTTATCACTGTTAAACATCATGTTATTTTCTGATGCCCAGTCGAAAACTTTATTAATATCGGCTTGAAGTTTTTCAATGTCTTCAGCCGAGGTAATTTTCATACTGATTTTTGTGTCATCTGCAAAGAATGATACGAAGCTCTGACTTGCATTTTTGTCTATATCTGATATGAGAATAAGGAAAAGCAGCAGTGCAAGAACAGTACCCTGAGGTACAGAGCTTTTAACTGCGCTTGGACTAGATTTTATATGGTTTACTGTTACTTGCTGAGTCCTGTTTGACAGAAAATTGAGTATCCAGCATCCTACTTTACCGGTAATTCCCATTGACTTCATTTTGTGTGCTATCACACCATGGTCACATTTATCAAAAGCCTTTGCGAAGTCCGTGTATATCATATCAGCATTCTGTTTCATACTGTCTACTCTTTCAAACATTCATACATTTCGTACTTTCATACTGTTTCATACTTTCAAACTTCATACTGTCGCTGAGATGAAGCTCTCAGGTGAGACACCATCAACGAAGCCACCTGATCACCATAGAAATGGTGATACACCCGCGTCAAAAAGACCAGACGCTAAGAGCAGAGGAGGTCGAACCAGCCCCGTACCGGACCAGGCCGACCTGCTGAAAGAGGCGGAGCCGCGGGAAACGTCCCGGGTTCGGACACTGAGCCAATAGCACAGGAAACTAAGGCTGGGCCGGCCACCAAGGGGCCACAAGGACTACTCTCCCTGGGAATGTCTCCAACCGAACCAGAACCCGAAGCAACAGCTGGACCAGGGGGAAGAGGTACAGGTAACCCCACTAAGACTAGTCCTGCCGAAAGGCATCCACCGCGAACGCCTCGCAGTCGGGGAAGGGCGTCACATAGATTAGGAGATGCCGAGACCATGCCGACGCGAAGAGGTCCCCGTCTGGGAGACCATACGTCTAGCAGATCCAACGAAACGAGTCGTCATCGACCATCCATTCCGTGGACAGGGGATTGAAGCGAAACAGACCGTCCACCAGAATGTTGGACAGTCCTCGGACATGAACCACATGGAGAGCCAAACCCGGAGAATACAGCAGACGAACCACTCGAAGGGACCAACCCCAAAAAGCCAAGGACCGAAGAAAACCCCCGTGGTTCAGGCAATGAACCACTAGAGTACAGTCTGAATGGAGGCGAATGGTCGATCCCCGAGCGACCCGAACCCTCCGAAGCGCGAACCAGACTGCCGCGAACTCCCGAACCAAGCTGTGAGCCCGACCGAAGGACCGTCCCTGGCCGGCCTGGTGAGCACTGGTCACAAAGCCCAAGCCGAGAGACGACGCGTCTGTAAACACATCGAGCGAGGGCTTGAGAAGGCGCTAAGGCACCGAATCCAGAAAACCCCGAAGAGGAAGCCGGTGACGCAGCAACCGACACAAGGCTCCCGGAGGATGAACCCAACGATCGCAAGAGAGGTGGAAGGGACGTTTCCAAAGGAACCAAAACAGGCGTTAAAGCCAAACACGACCAGACTAGCACGGCGAAGTTTAGACTCCTGCACAACTGCTCGAGCAACCGCCGAGTGACCCGGGACCCCCTCAGAAGCAGCCAACGGCGGTCCCGCAGCCACAGCAACGCCTCTGGAGGGAGAGACAAGGAAGCGGTCCGAGAATCCCAAACAAGACCCAGCCAGGTCCAAACCTGGGACGGAACCAGATGGGACTTCCTCTAGTTCACCAGGAACCCGAACCTGGCGAGCTGGGAAAGAGCCATATCCCTGACGCGCAGACAAGCTGACAAACTGGGAGCCCACACCAGCCAGTTGTCGAGGTAGGCCAAAACCTGAATCCCTAGACGACGCAGATGGGTCACCACAACCCGGGTCAGACGCGTGAAAACGCGAGGTGCCAGATTCAAGCCAAGAAGTAGTCATCGAAAACGATAAGCATGACGCCCCACCACGAAACCTAACCAGTCCCTGAACCCCAGATGAATAGGAACGTGCCAATAGGTGTCCTTGAGGTCCAGGGACACCATCCAGGCACCCGGCTCCAACAGAAGCCGGACCTGAGACAGAGTAGTCATCCAAAAGGAGGGGAAAGGAATCCAGGGGTTCAGACGGAACAAGTCCAGAATGAACCTCAGATCCGCACAGTCCCGTTTCAGCACTGCAAACAGACGGGAAACCCACC